CATGACAAACATGAATTCAGATGTTTCTGGTACATGGACTGCTCTCACCCAATGTGAGGTTGAACTGTTGACCTTGTGTACATCCTACTTCACAAATGAGTCTGTCAGATATGCTAAGCCTATAGGCTGAAGATGATGCCCCAACACTATGGAGAAACCTCAGGTGACTGTCCAGGCAGCTGGCTGTTTCTGTCAACTCACAAATTTTTTGGAAGTTGCTTACATGCACTTTCTGTTTTTATTTTTGTTAGCTAATATTATTTCCTTCTTGGGTCTCTGAGGGAGTTGAAGATTAGGTAGTTATAGTTAAAGGTTAGTTAGTTATAGTTGAAGATTAATTAGGATAGAAAGTGAATTAGATACATTTTGGACTTAACAAAATAGGATAGATAATGAAATTATTTTCTCTGAATTTGTCAAATACAAATGGACTAGACATTGTTTAGACATTTATTATTTGTATATATTGTATATAGTCATGGTACTTTTGTATATAGTTTGTCTTTTGTTAGTTATAACCTTTTTCTTTTTTTCCCTTTTTATTAAAATAGAAAAGGGGAAATGTGGTGGTATTTTACTTGTACTGAAATGTGATTTTAATTGTATGTTAATAAATAAAGTTGTCTGGGGGTCAGAGCTATTAGAGTCATAGCAAGTGCATGGCGGCGGTGGCGTACGCCTTTAAGGACCTGGAGGGCGGTACATTCAGGCAGTGACGAGGCAGTCACATGTTTGGGTTTACAACCAATGACAAGGCAGAACAGGAAGACTTTAAAGACAGACACACAGGAAGTAGGTCCTTTTCGGAGAGCTCTCTTGGCTGGAGAGGATCCCTGAATCAGGAAGGGTGAGGCTCTTAGCTCTGACCTCTTGGTTTTCTTCTCTGAATTGGCTCTGTGTTTCTTATTTGATAAGACCGTTGGTTACATCTACACTTTTGCTCTGTCTGCTCAGGAAGCATCTTCCATTCAGCTCACCCTTGCTCAAGCCACTGTGAGACATCTCAGCAAGGTTCTTTTGTTCAGTTCCCCCTTGCTCAATCCAACAAGGTTCTTCTGTGAACCAGTGAATGAAGGTTTTCACACCCAAAACACTTTTGAGAAAGAGATTTATTTGGGAATTAGGAGTCCAGGAGAATAGCTGCATCTAGCAGAGTGGAGAGAATAACTCTCCTTTGACCAGACAGGGAAGTTTATATAGGATGTTTTGGGGATGGAGTCAAACTATCATTTTTTGGTTTTTTTTTTTTCTGCCCAGGAATTGGCCAGTTTTGTGGGCTGGGGACAGAGATGGTCCTGATTACAGGGAAAAATTGTTTTTCTTTCACTGGCCTTTCTTGGCTTTTTGACACTTCCTTTAAGGTCAGGGCTCATTTCTTTCACTGACTCTGATTCTAGGGACCAAGAGTGTTATTTTGGAATCAATTTCAGGGTCAGGGCATGTTTCCTTGTTTCGTTTCTCTGGCTCAGGTACATGGCTCAGGTACAAAATACAAGTTGTGTTTCCTTCCCTGTTCCTGGGCCCTAGAGACAGGATTCTACTATCCTGTTCTGTGATTGGTTGGTTTCACAACCCAGTTGGTCAGGGGAAGAGATAGCACTGATTTGAGCCAAACTGTGTTGTTTCTCTTTTGTTTGTTTCTTTGTTTGCTTTTTTTGTGAGTTTTTTTTTTACTGGCCTTATCTGTGTTATCTTTCCCTAGTTCTGGGCTCCAGGATCATTCTGGGATTCTTTCTTTCTTTCTTTCTTTTTTTTTTTTTTTTTTTTTTTTGCTTTTCAAGACAGGGTTTCTCTGTGTAGCTTTTTGCCTTTCCTGGAAGTTGCTTTAGAGACCAGGCTGGACTCAAACTCACAGAGATCCACCTGCCTCTGTCTCCCGAGTGCTGGGATTAAAGGCATGCACCACCACCACCTGGCCATTCTGGGTTTCTTTACCCAGCACCTTTTCCCTACATTTTTGACAAAACAACAATCAATGAAACTACATCATCTACCCTTAGACTTTTGCTCAGGTGACTGACACAGAAGGATCATGAATTCTAATGTATCCATGACTAATTACTGACATTCAAACCAAGCTGGATAACAAACAACATTTCAAGGGAATTTGTGAAAAAGTATCAAAAATAAAACCAAGAACAAAAATCCACCACCCTTTCCCAAAATCCTTACTTGAAAAGTGTGATCACATACTGCCTGAGATTTAAATAAAAATCAAACACTTAGATAATCGCCATCCCATTCTATACATTGAAGCAGATAAATACCTCTTACTACATGAAAGTCAAAAAAGATGAACAAAAACCACAGAAGGAATGAAAGGACCACAAAATAAACTTCACTAATTGAATTTGCCACACATAGCGAATGCTTCAATCTCTATCACTCATGTTGTAAAATAGATGCCACAATGTAGTCTTCACATCAGTCTTTAGTGAATATGGTTAATAACTTACTTACTTCAAAGCTACAAGGAAAAAGATTTAAAACAAGGTTTTTTCCCTTGAAACAGAAAACAATTGTGATGTCAAAAGTCTTACATAAAGTTTACATAAGTAGGGTTTCTTTTGTGTGAGCACCTACATATTTCCTGGTATCGAGATGACATAAAGCACTTTAAAATGTTGACAGGGGCTAAGCGGTGGTGGCACACGCCTTTAATCCCAGCACTCGGGAGGCAGAGGCAGGTGGACCTCTGTGGGTTGGTAGTGAGCCTGGTCTAGGAAATGAGTTCCTGGAAAGGCACAAAACTACACAGTGTAAGGTTGTCTCAAAAATTAAAAAAAAAAAAGAAAGGAATACTGATTAAAGTGTTGACAGGGATAGAGAAATGGCCAAGTCTTTAATACAAATTCATTTCCTGGACCAAGGTCTGGTTTTCGACGAATTCGAGTAATTCCTGCTGTAAGAAGGGCCAATGGTCTAACCTTGGGAACTAGAATGCACATAGATATACCCACTGAAAGACATACAGATATTGCTTAATTAAAATAAAAAATATTAAAACTAACTTTAAATCATGAAAGTTTTTCTATTGTAACTCTGGTACCATGGGTTTTGAGGCACCTAAATGATTACAGAGTTTTTCACTATCATGAATTGTGTTTCATGTTTCAGAAAGAAAGCATGAAGACTTGAAGTTAGAGAAATAAGTCATTTTCAGTCAGTAGTATAATTTGGGAAGATTTAAGAAATGTTACCCTGCTTTAAGAAATCTCTCACTGGGGATTGGCCTGAGAGTTCCCATCTGCATACCATTTCCAATTTATATTCTTCTTCATGCTGCAGGACAAGAATATGAATTCTTAGCCTCTTGCTTTAACTGCCATGTCTGTCATTTGTTTCCATGCCACTTTTATAGGGTTCAAGTATTGCTCTGGAACCAAGGGCTAAATTAAACACTTTCTAAGTTCACTGAGATATGATCCATTATCAAAGCAACAGAAAAGCAATGATACACATCTATGAAATTTTACACCAGAATTTATTATTTTATGTATTTGAAGAGATGTATGAAATCTAAGAGGGTTACCTTATCATTTAAACTTATAGGCCTTTTATCCATATTAGTTGACAGGTGTAAACAAAATAAAGAGGTATTATAATGTTGGAAAAGATTAGTGACACATTTTAGATTTTTTTCCAAAATAATTAATCTTGTGTAATTGAATGTATGTTTGCTAAAGATCATACCAATTTATATATATTCAGATTTCCTTTGGTATGTTTTTTTTCAGATCTTCAAAGTCTAATATTATATTCTAAGGCTTTAAGATACCAATTACACACTAAAAGTTTTATAGTTATAGGGTTGCTGTGTTTTCACTAGGCATTACCACATTGATAATGTTCAAAGGGGTTCTCTCTGGTATGTGTTTTTATATACTTGAAGATGATTGGGGTGTGCAAAGGCTGTACCACACTGTTTAAATTCATAGGGTTTCTCTCAAATATGTGTTCTTCCATGAAACTGAAGAGCAGGGTGCTGAGCAAAGACTTTACCACACTGATTACAATTGTATGGTTTCATTCAAGTATTTGTTCTTTCATGCCTTTGAAGATGTCTGTGATAAGCAAAAGCTTTACAACACTGATTACATACATAGGGTTTCTCTCCAGTATGTGTTCTTTCATGCCTTTGAAGATAACTATGACGAGCAAATGCTTTCCCACACTGATTACATTCCTAGGGTTTCTCTCCAGTATGTGTTCTTTCATGCAATTGAAGAGTACTGTGACGATCAAAAGCTTTCCCACACTGATTACATTCATAGGGTTTCTCTCCAGTATTTGTTCTTTTATGCCTTTGAAGAGTATTGTGATAAGCAAAGGTTTTACACTGATTACATTGATAGAGTTTCTCTCCAGTATGTATTCTTTTATGCCTTTGAAGAGTATTGTGATAAGCAAAGGACTTACAACACTGATTACATTCAGAGGGTTTCTCTCCAGTATGTGTTCTTTCATGGAATTTAAGAGTATTGTGATGAACAAAAGCTTTCCCACACTGATTACATTTATAGGGTTTCTCTCCAGTATGTGTTCTTTCATGCCTTTGAAGATCACTACGACAAGCAAAAGCTTTATTACACTGATGACATTCGTAGGGTTTGACTCCAGTATGTGTTCTTTTATGCACTTGAAGAGCACCATTTTGTGCAAAGGCTTTCCCACACTGATTACATTCATAGGGTTTCTCTCCAGTATGTGTTCTTTCATGCCTTAGAAGATCACTATGATGAGCAAAAGCTTTATCACACTGATGACATTCATAGTGTTTGACTCCAGTATGTGTTCTTTCATGCACGTGAAGAGTACCATTTTGTGCAAAGGCTTTCCCACACTGATTACATTCATAGGTTTTCTCTCCAGTATGTGTTCTTTCATGCAATTGAAGAGTAATGTGAAGAACAAAAGCTTTACCACACTGATTACATTCATATGGTTTCTCTCTTGTATGTGTTCTTTCATGCCCTTGAAGATAACTATGATGAGCAAACGCTTTCCCACACTGATGACATTCATAGGGTTTCTCTCCAATATGTGTTCTTTCATGCAATTGAAGAGTACTGTGACGAGCAAACGCTTTCCCACACTGATTACATTCATAGGGTTTCTCTCCTGTATGTGTTCTTTTATGCCTTTGAAGAGTATTGTGAAAAGCAAAGGATTTACAACACTGATTATATTGATAGTGTTTCTCCCCAGTATGTGTGCTTTTATGCCTTTGAAGAGTATTACGATAAGCAAAGGATTTACAACACTGATTACATTCATAGGGTTTCTTTCCAGTATGTGTTCTTTTATGCCTTTGATGAGCATTATGACGAGCAAAGGCTTTACCACACTGATTACAATCATAGGGTTTCTCTCCAGTATGTGTTCTTTCATGCCCTTGAAGATGATTGTGATAAGCAAAAGATTTACCACACTGATTGCATTCATGGGGTTTCTCTCCAGTATGGGTTCTTTCATGGAATTTAAGAGTACTGTGATGAACAAAAGCTTTACCACACTGATTACATTCGTAGGGTTTCTCTCCAGTATGTGTTCTTTCATGCCTTTTAAGATTACTATGACAAGCAAAAGCTTTACCACACTGATGACATTCACAGGGTTTCTCTACAGTATGTGTTCTTTTATGCATTTGAAGAGCACCATTTTGTGCAAAGTCTTTCCCACACTAATTACATTCATAGGGTTTCTCTCCAGTATGTGTTCTTTCATGCTTTTGAAGATTACTATGACAAGCAAAAGCTTTCCCACACTGATTACATTCATAGGGTTTCTCTCCAGTATGTATTCTTTCGTGTACTTGAAGGTGACTGTGATAAGCAAAAGTTTTACCACACTGATTACATTCAGAGGGTTTCTCTCCAGCATGTGTTCTTTTATGTACTTGAATATGAGTAGGGTATGCAAAGGCTTTACCATATTGATTATATTCATAGCGTTGGTCTCCAGTATGTATTTTTTTATACCTTGGAGGATGACTATGATGTACAAACACTTGACCACATTGAGTGTGTTCAGATGATTTCTCTGTAGTATGACTTCTTTCATGCCTGCAAGGATAATTGAAACATTTAATAGCTTTGCCACATTCATTACATTGTTGAGTCTTTATATCTGCATGAATTAATTTTACAATTTTGTGTGAATATAAAGAGTTATGTTATCTTTAGTTTTTAACATGTTGTGTACATTCATGTTGTTCCCTACATTAAGGATGGCTTTGCATATTTGAACATGCCTGTCATAGTAAAACCCTTTACTACCTGGCCCATATTTATGGCATCATTTCATCATTTTTCTCTGAGATTTTTCAAATATTTGAAGAGAACTGGGAGAATTCAGACATTTACATCACATACTCTACTGATAAACTTTCCTATACTATGCTACATTTTCAAAGTGAACCAGAACAAATAGAAGCATTTACACAGGCCTAGTACTCATAGGTCTTTTCTGTGATGTGTTGTTGATTTAGTCCAAATTAAGCTGGATAACCAATTATTTGTAAATTTAAATGTCATTCAACAAGTTTGCTCAGGGGCTACTACATGTTTTGTAATTGTTCTGAGATTGAGAGATGTACATTACTTCTTTTCATATCCTTATGTTCATATGGCTGGGATCCAAAGTGACATATGATATAACTATTAAAGAAAGAATAACAACAAGAAGGTTTCCACATTTTATTTACTGTTGGACTTTCTTTTCCCCCTCAACATGTAGCATAGGGATTATTATTTCTCTGCAACATCCCCACTTTATTTCTTGACTCTAACCACCTATCTAACTAAATTAGCAAAGACAGAATAACTTTTTGAGTAACAATGCTTTTACTATGGATTGTTTGCTTATCAAAAGGTTCTGTACATATTCTTATCATGCATTCAGTGAGTCTACCTTTTGTAATTTGAATAGTATGAAATTAAAAGGATTGTTATTTGTATAGCATAGCTCTGATGAAGCTATTATTCAAATGATGATTTCTGTTAAGGCATTGATTCCTTGTCTTCCTTCTTAAAAGAATGACTTGCAAACACAATTCACTAACCTGCCATTGAGGTATGTGTGTTTATGAGCATGTAATGATCATCAACACATTTTGAGCTGTGTTTATTTACAATGTTTCATTTCTTTAAAACTTCCAGATAAGCTAAATATATCCAGAGGCCCATTTGTATCAGCTTGTACAAGAAAATTACCTTCCATGCTTTTGAGAACTTTGAAAATGTTCTTCAACTTCAAGATCTTCCCAGTTGTAGCCTAAAATATCAAACAAGGAAATTTATAAAATATTACAGGAAACTGAAAAATTTACATTACTATCTTCAGTGATCCTTAGAACCAAGCCCGTTTTATTCACCTCATTCTCAGTCAGGATTACAGAAGAGCACCGATAACCAAGAAACTGTTGTTCCCTTATTTAAAATGTGAAGAAAAATTTACAGTATTACCTATAGCAGTGAGGTTCATAAAGGTCTCCAGCATCACATCTTTGTAGAGATTCCTCTGTGAAGGATCCATCAATACCCACTCTTCCTGAGTGATGTCGACATGCACATCATTATAGGTCACTGTATTCTAAAATATGCCATACATAAATATGCCATCCATATGTATAAAACAAAAAGCATGATACAACATTGTAAATGTGTGCTTCTTTGACAATATAGTCACATAATTCTTGTGAGTGCTACACATATTCTATAACTCAGACATTACAATGAAACCATCAACTTATTTCACAAAGAAACTGAATAGGAGGTTCACCTTTTTTTTTTCTGAATGTTTTGAACAGGATATCACCTTGCAAGAGAAATGCCTATTAATAGAAATAGAGAGGCAAGCAAACATTTCAACAGTACCCAGCACACATCTGAGAAATTGTATGAACAATTATTAACTACAAGGAAGATTTATAAGCTGGGTATATCGGCTCATGCCTTTAATCCCAGAACTTAGAAGGTAAAGCAGGTATGTGTGCTTCTGAGGTGAAAGTTAGCCTAGTCTATGCTAACTGTATCTGCACTGAATCTTCCATTCAAACAAATAAAACAGAAAAGATGAACTCAGATTTTTTACTGAAGATCCTACAAAGAGTTCCTCATTCACTACAGTTCTGTATTAATCTTCCAGAAAACTGATTTGCTCCAGTTTAAACTACTTTAATAAATCTTAGAAAAAGGAACTGTGCATTTAAAGAGGTACAAATAGAAAGAAGATAACATTAGCAATATCAATGATGATCATAAATAATCAACACAGGGAAGGAGAGATGGCTCAGAAGTTGTGTGCTCTTACTGGTCTTGCATATAGATGGGCTCAATTATAAGTACTTATATGGGGGATGCACACAACTGTTCATTAATCCAAGCTTGTGGATTCTAAAACTCTCTTTGGACTACTGTGAGAACAGGTGAACATGTAGTGTATATCCACGTATATAGACAAAAGACTCATAGTCATTAAAAAAACAGTAAAAAAACACAAAAAGCAAGAAGAATGGAACACAATTGTAATCTAATGATTCAGAAGGCCCAGACACTACATCTAGGAAGAGAATGGTATCTTCTACTGAATTTCAAAATTGAAACTGGGGGGTAAAGCTCAGCAAAACAACATACGCTTGACATGTACAAAAACATATACTCTAGGACGATCACCCAATAATATATATTTAAAAAAACCTGGAATGTTGAACAACCTTTAATCTCAGCAAGTGGGAAGAAGAGTCAGGTGAATCTCTGAGTTGGAATCCAACCTGGTTTACACAGCTACTTTTAGGAGAGTCAGGGCTACTCATTCAAAGCTTTTCTTCAGAAATAAAAATAGGAACAACAAAGTTTTAAAAAAAAATTGGGCTAGCAAAGTGGCTTAGCATTGAGTAACAATTCTATCAATTGTATTTTACATGATTTAGTGATACTATCTATACTCGTGGTGAAGTCATGGCAGCACAAGAAGCAAGCTGGCTCATTCATTTCAACCACAACATAGTAGAAACATAGAAAAGGAAATGGGTTGAGGCTATGGAAATACATATCACAAACCCCAATGAGATATATATCCAGAGAAGTTCCACAAGTACCCCAAAAAAAGTCACCAAGGAGAGACACATGTCCACATTCCTCATCCTATCTGGGAGATTTTCATTCTGTTGACTAGATTCTCACCCAGGTCACTATATACTCAAGGGTCATCCATGAAGAAAATGCATTTAGTCATTTCAATGATTCTCATAGTCTGCAACAACCCCTACACTGTTGAAATGTCCAAAGTCTCTTTTGATACTCAATACAAATTCTTGACTGTGGCATCTTATAAAATCAGAAAACAATTTAAATATTTCCAACATGTGAATGGCACAGAAAACCCATTACCATCCCAAAGGAGGGGAACTAACACACAGTGAGGAAAGATTGGACCAAGGGAAGACTGAAACCCTTCAGGACAACCGTTGAATCTGGTAGCTCTGTGTCAGAAACATGAGGCTTCATTTTCAAAGGGCTTGGATGGCTCTCTCTCCACAACTTCCCATACATCTCTCTCTGGTTACTTCCTTTCCATATATGTAGCTAGCTTTTCATGTAAAATGTCTCATAATTGTTTCAACATCTTATGGTATCAAAATACAACTCAGGCTTCATCCTCATAGTATTATAGAATGAACTCAGTCTTCTCACTGGAGCTCTTACCATACCAAACACAGATGCCTACAACAGACCTGACCTGAAAATGAAGACTAAAAATGCATAATCTTAAATTTTACATCATTTTGGTCTCCAGAACCAGCTCAACAGCAGTGATTTCCCCCAAATTTGGTTTCTCAGTTGTGATGGCCTCTGCAATGCTTGGACAAGAGTTGCAGCAGGCTTTGAATAAAGTTGCTTCCTGGGACTGGTGGTCTATTTGCCTAATCCCTCCATTAACTGAGGGTATATAAGGATGGATTTTTACCCTTGGGGCACCTTGCTAGGCTTCCAATGTAGAGTAAGGGCCTTCTTTTAAAGGGTGATAATCTCCCTGAACATTCCTGACTCTGTTCAGCATTTGACTACCTTCTGCAATTTCATAGTGCTGTTTTTCTCTACAACCCATAGACTGTTCATTTATTTATGATCCACTTCTTGATTGTTTTAAAGTAGTGCTGAATGAATCATAAGTAATAGCTACCCAAGAAAGTCAATATTCCATCTAAAAAATAGCTACCCAAGAAAGTCAATATTCCATCTAAAAAATCAATTTTTTTAAATTCTGCCTTACTCAATCAATTTCTTGAGGGCATGGGAAAATTAGAAAAGTTAAATTCCAAAATATCACATACACGTCCTCTATTTTAATTGCCACTGAAATGCTTTGACCTCAATCACCACTGTTTTCAATACTTTAACAGTATTTTATTCAAAGTACTACAAGAATAACCAATCAAGCTCTAAATGCAGTTTTCTATGTCCATTGCCATCTAAATTTTGATATGTTCAACATTCTCCCAAAGTCATCATTCCCACCACCTTTGAATATTTGGTTTACCACATTCTGTTATAACTTGCTTTTTTTTTTTTTTTGCTCTGATTTAATTCTCTACACAAAAGCTCCTGAGGTAACAAATGAGCTTATTTGGCTCACTCTGGCAGATCACAATCCATCATTGTGGGTGTTTACGATAGGAATTCAATTCAGCAACTAAAGGTAAAAACCATGAGAAAACTTTGTTTCCAGACTTTTTCTCTGACATAGTCATTGTCTCATGACAAGCTTGCTGTCTTATCTAGTGCAAGCCAAATTTCTTAGGGATACTGCATGCTCAGTGGAACAGCCATCACCCGTAAATCATCAATCAATAAAATCTCTCAAAAACTTAGCAACTAGCTACTCTGATGAGGCACATCCTCACCAGATGTTCCCAAAGGTTACTGTGGCTCTGAAATGTTGACATCTGGAAGTAACTAGGACACATAATATAGCTTTTTTCCATAAAATAAAAATAAGTAAAGTTCCATTATTTGCTAGAGAAACAACATATCATAACTAATAAAAAAAAAAACTCACACCACACAGATGGTACCACTGATAAAAGGAGACAGAAAGACAGACCTGCATATATAACATTGTCACTTGAAAAAGAATTATAAGTTTCTAGTGAAAATAAAAATCAGAGAAATCACTGACTACCACTCACCCTGTGCACTCCTGTTCTCGCATCACTAATAATAAGAAATGATTTGGGTGAGGAGACTCTTCCACTAAAACTGGAATCATTCACTTGAAGCCTAATATTTCTATATTGTAGAAAATAGTTTTGGTTACTAATACGATTTCATTCTCCTTTTTTAAGAAAAAGGATGTCTGGTAGAAAATTTAAAAACAATTTTGTTTTCTATGATTAAAGATTAGATGTAAACCTGTATAAGAGGGATGAAATAAATAATTTTAAAACAAATTGAAGACAATAGTTTTTAAAATAATATTTGTATGATGATTCTATGATATACTTCAAGAAACCGAATTTTCTCTAATTGCTTTATAAGTCTTAAGAGCTTTTGCAAAGATGTCTAGACCCATTATATGTGTATATTTGTATGCATGAGAAAGAATATTTTCCATGTGTGTATAGGTAACAGAGCAAAGATCATATCAGATCCCCTGGATGTGGAATAGCAGGTGATTATAAGCTTTCCAACTTGGGTGCTGGTATCTGAACTCCCCCAAGAAGAATAACTGCTGACTGACATTTGCAGCCCACATACTTCCAATAAACTAAAAGTCTTTCATAGATTAATCACAACAGAAGCCTAAGTAAGAAAATAAGTAAATAAATGATCCCTGGGAACCTAATGAATCTGTATTAAGATGTTGGGTATGAGATCAGGAAAACTATCCACAGACCTTACCCACTCTCAGGGTTCAATACTCAGAGTTGCCCTTAGGGCTGAAACAGAATCCCAGCTCCAGCTTCTCCTCTCCATTTTCATGTCTCATGTGGATTTCAAAGACTATCTCCACCTACCCTTCCCTACACTCCTCATATCTGAGTTCCATCACCCAATGGGGCAGACACCCTCTGGTCAATTACTCACCACATCTTCCAGAAGACCAGCTAGGATGTCTGCAGATCTATCACATTGTCTCTTAGCCCACAGCTGATTTTAAAAGTTGCTCCTCTCAGTGGAGTAGAACACCAGAGGCATCTTCCCTTCTTCCTTCTCCATGCCTCCAGTGCATCTGAAGATCATCTCCCCAGCATTCCTCTTCCCCTAGTTTGCAACACCACCAAGCATTTCCCCTTAAACACACAAGCCAAGAAGGCCAGGAAGAAGGCAACAGTCATTTAACAGGCATTCTGAAACTCCAGAGAAAAAACACAAACCCAGGAACAAAATTCCCATGCAAAAAAATGTGAAGTTATAAACTAGCACCTAGACCTATTATCACCTTAAACCTAGATGCCTAGAAGAGGAACATAATTAACAATAGACAGGGCACTATGTCGCCACCAGAATCCAGCTATCCTACCAGAGTCATTCCTAAATACTCAAAAATAGTGGAAATACAAGAGAAAAAAAACCATAAAACCAAATATA